TATATAGTAGAAATTGCAAATTATGGTTTTTATTGTAAATGGCAAAAGTAGAAGTTTTGGTGAATTTTAATGTTTCAACCCAAACATCTAATTTAATTATTTGGGTAAATTGGTTTAATATAATTTTTTTAGCTTAAAATTAATTTTTTATAAAAAAAATCAATATACCAACATTTTAGACACTTTGCATTATTAGCTAACTCAATCAACTAACAAAGTTGTTAATTGAATATATTATATGCTATAAGTTAATTCAATCAATTGTTAATTCAATCAATTATATGCTATAAGTTAATTCAATCAACTACTTGTTTAAAGCTAAGTGTTCTGTTGCTAATATTTATAAACTAGTACAATACTCGTGCATTATACGGGTGCTTGTTAATAAAATTATATTTAAAATTAAAATTAAAAAAAGTTATAGTCCCAAATATTTAAAAAAAAAACTATAAATTTTATTTATATTAATGACATCAGTCGCTTACATGACTTAACATCTTATATTGTAATAATTTTTTATCTTATAGCATATAACTAATTTGTAGTAAAATTAATTTAAATAATGTTTCCAATTGATATTAATATATAATTTAATTTTTATTATAGAAATAAATATATTTATTTATTTATATTCACAATATAGATGTGAAATCGAATTTCATCAAGACATGATATATCCAATGTATTATATAAAAATTTGATAATTAAAAAAAAAATATTAACCTTTATATATATAATTTATATTAGTAAATTTTTTATAATTATAAATAAAAATTAAGAAAAAAAAAGATTGGAGAAAATAAATTATGCCTAATAAACCACGTACATCATAAAAAATAATATTAAAATATAATTATTCTCTTAAAAAGAGTCATAAATATCCACTATATATATGGATATTCCAAGCCTAATAATTTTTTGATCGAAAACAAACTAAAATCAATACAAGTCAAATGACAAAACATAAAAGTTTGTCACATAAAATTTCGAAGCGTGCGAGTTTGCCGCTTAAACTTAGCACATTCTGAAATTATATGTACCTGAATTTTAGTTTTCTTAAACAAAATTGATATTGTGATCAATGATAATATTTTTCATACGCCAAAGCAGCGAGTGATGGAATATCCTATCTTACAAACTGAATTATTTTATTGCTAGATTCTTAAGTGGTGATAGAGTAGCATAAAGTGACATTGCAAAATTGTATAATTTCATAACTTATGCTCATAACAATATCATATTACATAACAATACTATCAATTGACAATTAGTACAGAGCCAATGCGATAGCACGGGGTGCACAATTTTAAGGTCATTTATCCAGCCTTATAATTATATAAATGAATAAAGAAAAATGTAAGAGATATATATAGTATGTGACATGTGCAAGGCACGAGATATATTTATTTGGGAATTATTATATTATAAGATGCAATATTCAATAAAAGTTTTACAATATGCAGAAAAATTGTATAATAAAATTGTATTCGACAAATAAGCAATCATATGTTATTAAAGACCTCATTGTACACAACATTAAAGACCTCATTGTACACAACATTATGAGTTTGATTATCGGGAAACTCCTCATTCTCACAAACTAATATTTTCAACCCCCTTATGTTAGTTACACGCGAAACAACAACATATCATTGGGCATGACTAAAGACAAGTTTCTTTAGAAAAAGACCAACGTGGGATAAAGACTGTCCATGACTCTTGTTTATGGTCATGGCATACGAAACATTAACAAAAATATTTAAATACATATACGAAAATATAAAAAAATTAAAAAGATACGTTTCAAAGTTCGAAATTAAAAAAAAAAAATCAAATAATTTGGCTTACAATTTTATCATGGAGAACCAACTCGATATATGATTTGTATGTTCTGCCCAGTCTTGGAAAAAACATTTTCACAATTTGAACTCTGAGCATAGGTCTATTAGACATATTGACTTGTTTGATTAATCCAATTCATTTATTCATTGTTTTGAATAAAAGTTTGATTGGGAATATTTTTTTATTCGCATGACGTTGACCGTGAGGAAGATAATGGCTCGATATTTTGAGATTTAATTTATAATGGGTAAAGTAGATATATATTGTTGTTAATATTTTTATGAAAAATCTGAATATACAGAAATCGGTTTGAACAAAATAAGTACAGATTTCCATACAATTAGATAATAAATAAATCATTTTTTATTTTATTAAAGATTTTACGTACTTTTTTTGACTTATCGGATGTTATGAGATTTTTTTTCTTAAACCGATTTTATGAAATATAAGACAAATACAATTAGATGATTGAACAAAATCAGAACATATTTTCATACAGTTAGATAATAAGAAGGAATTAAATAATGAATTTAGAATGTGTCTTTTCTTAGTATAGATATAGACGTTACGTACAATTTTTAACTTCAACGATTTTATGGGATTTGTTTTTTACTGAATCGAGGTTTTGACATAAAGATTTTAGGTACTTTTTCTTAATAAAAAAATAAAAAAATATATATAAAAATAAATAAAACAATTATATATAATTATTTTTATAGTAAAGATGTTATGGGATTCTTTTTTTCTTAAAACCGATTTTATTATGGGATATAAGACAAATAAATAAAATAATTATATAAAATTCTGAATAGAAATAGCAATGCGTTAATTACGTTGACTTTTCAACCTACTAAATTCGGTAAATATGATATCTTATTATACAAGTATAGATTAGAAGTGATAATTAACAAATATCAAATTTTATTTATAAACATATAATGATTTTATTATTTTTTGATTTTAAATTAATTATAAGAGTATAGAGCTGAAAAAAACGAGAGACAATGAAAAAAAATTAGTTTATAAAAAATTCTATTTCAATTACAATTTTAAAAAAAAAAATATCCGACCAATTAAAAAATTAAAATAAAAAACTCAATCCCCTCCCCCTATATATTAATTCAGAACGCGTTGAGCCTACGTGACTGTTTTTGGTGCTTCATAATCCTATGTGACAAAATTACATGTTTCGTTATTAGGCTTGGGTAAATTTTAATTTAATTCCAAACAAAAAATAATTAGGCTCGGATTACCATAAATATGTTAATTATTTATGGTCATATTACATGTATTAATTGCATTTTAATATCATTCCTTATTATAACTATTGAATTATATATATACTTTAAAAGTTAATAACTTTTGTACTTTTTT